TTAGTCTTCAAATAAAAACTGAAAAGAAAAAAACAAGTCAACATACCATACCCATTAGATATTCAAGAATACATAATATTATTCAAAAGTGGGTCCCGACTGTTAAAGTAGCTTTGTTCCTCATTAACAGAATTATAGACTACTGGACTTGTTTCTTTCTTTTCAGTTTTTATTTGAAGACTAATTAAGCAATCGGGTTTTTTATTTTTTAAATTGACATTTTTTATTTCACACTTTTTAGTTAGTATTTTAAGACGGTATATACCGTAGTCTTGTTACTTCAGTAAGGGAATTAATATTGCGGGAATTATTAAGTACATTGCGGTGATCTAAAAGATTGATTTATTAAAACATGACTTTACCAGCGGGGTCAAGGCCTCAATTTTCGCAAAAATGTGTGAAGTTAAATCAAGTCGTTACATAAATATCTCTAATGTATGTAAATTTTAAAGTAAACTAGCACTTATTCAAAAAGTCATCTTTTGTTTATGTTTTTTTTAGTAGTTTAGCAGTAAATATAAAATTTATTTACTTTTTATTCGTCGACTATTTAAAATTGGCAGTAGCTGCTTTGTCATGTCAACACCCGGCTCTAAGATTGTAATATACATAAATGCAGTGTCATATCCTAGTCTCATAATTTGATATACCTACATAATTTACAGAAACCCAATATGTAGATGCCAGAAGTTAACTTCAAATGTTTTTAATCACCCTATATACAATACCAATCAATGACGTTCATGTCGCAGGTTGAAGAAAGCAGTAATTCCCGTCTGTTGTTTTGGACAATGGTGGCAACTGCCTTAGATCACTAAATTAAATAATTATGCAATCACCAAAGCAAAGTTTATAATATTTTATTAAACTAAAGGCGCATAATAAAATTTTCATAACGTTAGGTAGAGCACCATAGCAATCTCATTTATTATCAATTTATAGTTCTCTTTGTAGTTTTCTTTTAAAGCGTTCACATTTAACAGGTCAAAGACTTTGTGTTCGACCCTTTTTTATTGGTAGTGTAAAGCTCGAATGAAGAGTACTCCCAGTAGTGCAACCATGGCAATTATTTTCCAAATTTTTTTTTGTTTAAAAAAATACCGAATAACCTATCACTGTTAAGCACCAATGCTGAGTAACTTATACAAATATAATCAAATAAACCTATTACTTTATTTTTAAATCTTTTTCATTAATAAAATACTTATCTTATCCTAACTATCTATACTAATATAATAAAGAGGCAAGATTTGTATGTTTGTAACAAATAATCTGTCAAACTACTGAACCGGTTTCAAATATTAATTCAACATAAGGTATCTACATTATTTATTATAACATTTTTCTTTATTTAAATACATTATGCCCGAGTGACATAGGCTATATTTTATCCCGATAAATAAATGTCGCCCGTACAATGCCCGGGTGGATCACTAGTAAGTACAATATAATATTATAGATGCGAAAGTGAGTTTGTTTGTTGCGCTTCTGTGCCCTAATAGCTAAATCGAATATAATGAATTCCCATATAGAAGTAGATGGGAACTTGGTTCTTAGCTATAACATCGCAATACTTATAGGCGTAGGGTGATGAAAGGGGTGATTTACCTATAAAAATATACATTATTTACTTTGAATTTTGCAGAATTATTAGAAAACCAATATCATCGCGAGCTGATTAATAAATACAGGGATTCCAATAAGTATGTACTTACTAGCGAACAATGGGTTATTTGTCATTATATTAAGTAAACCTTTTTTGTAACATTAATTAATATCGTTAAAAAAAATTAAAAACAGTAAATATCTGAGTTTTTCGTTACAATTCAATAATCATAAATACCTATTATGATAATATATTTTTCATCATTTAATAAGAAGGAACTGTATCACAGTTTTATTGTTAGTACTTCGTATAGGATCAGATACTGCGAATACCCCATTTTTTTTTCTTTTACATAGTACACCGCGCTATCACTTTGTCATCGTTGTAACTTTTTAAATATTTGTCGAAATGACATAGTGTAAAAAGCAAAGTTTATCGTCTTTAAATATCAAAAGCGATAAAAGTATTAAATACTAATGCACATTTTGTATTAACAATTAATAATTTTTTATCAAAACAAATTTTGTTTTGATAAAAAATTATTAATTGTTAATACAAAATGTGCATTTTGGAAATAGATATCAAATAATATTTTAGTTTTTATTCACTATTTTAGCGGTGATGACTTACACATTAAAAATAGATACATGGTGTCACGGACATTTTTTTAGAACTTTTTAAGAGATACATTTTCACTCTACATTACATTCATGTAACTTTTATTGTCTTTGCAGTGCAGGCCAAAATGGCTCGCAGATGGGAGATTTTTTTTCGTCTTATGTGACACTTATTGTTATATATTGGCCAATTCACTCAATAAGTACATAAATTATTATATAACGGTAATTATCATGTATGGGCTATATTACTGTTAAGTTTCATTAAAATCCATTCAGTATTTTTTAAGGTGAGAGAGTAACAAAGATCGATACAAACGTAAGATTGAAATTAAAAGCGTAAGTGGTTAATATACAACTTTAAAGCGTTGTAGATCCTAAACAATCATATAAAATGAAAAATGGTGTTAGAAACCTAAATATGATTGATTATCTAGACAGTGATACCCCACTCGACATATTTTGTCAACTTATTTTTTTTACTTCGTCACAATATGGCGCCTAATTTTGCCCATACTGAATTTTGATTACTATCATATAGTAGCACTCCCATGATTGAGACGAATCGATTGATGTATGAATCATCAAAATCGGTCCAGGCGTTTGGTCTCTAGTGTGCCACAAAGGAACAAACATACATATATAGACTGTTAAACACATAACCCTGTCTGCGCGTCGCTTCGCTCTTGCATTGCGCAGCCGGGTAAAAAGACATTAATTGTTCATCTGCATTTTGATTGCTGTGTCATACAGTATAACTGTAAACAAATTGTGTTATTTATATTAGGTGTCACTAGACATTAACATCTTCAATATCAAAGTAGTTAGGTCAGACTCATCTCCGCTGGCAGCACTCGTTCACGAGCACAACGCATGAAGCAGCCATCGCTTCGCTCAACCATATTTTAGGGTACGTAACGTTTACTTAAAATTAAGGTCATATCCCTGTAGGACACTGCATACAATTACTATAGCATTGGAGAAATCACAAATTTTGATGAGATTATGTTGGTATCGTTTATAACAAAGCAAAACTTTGATTTTTTAATGAAATTTTGGATACGGATTAGAAAAAACCGGACAATTGCGTGACGGACTCGCCCACCGAAGGTTCTGTGCAAGGAACATTGGACAAAAATGTATGGACGCTGCATGCACGTCCGCCACGGCTAAAACTACATTTGTTTGAAAGGTATCATAGTCATGATCATCTGTGCCAAAGCGCATAATATTCCATCGCGGGGGTCTTTAGATATTTTAAGTTAAATAGGTACAAGTACTATAACGAACGAACCTTAATGAATTAAGGGAATTAATTTAGTTAGTTAGTTCGACCCTACATAGAGGGCTCAGGTATTATGGGAGTATTTCACAAGGTGCAAAGGTGCCCCCTTATGTTATTCTGCCGCGCTAGAGTAAATCCAAATATCCCCGCTTATGTTGTTTGTTTTTGCAAACAATCTGTTCGTTATAGTAAATTGTGTTTTACGTAAAACGGAGCGACCACAAATCACACAAACTTGTCCACGCCTCGGAAAAACATGATTCCAGTTCATCCATACTAACTCACAAAACCGATAATCGTGTTCCAATGTCTAAAGGGCGTTAGAGTAAAATCAATCAAGTAACTGGGAGGGCAAAATCACAACAGAGTAAGACGAAGACATATGAGTCGACTAGTTGCAACTGCAAGTCCTTCACCCCCGTGCCCCTAAACCCTAAACCGTTTTCAGGTGTCTCAGTTAGTGCAAGCGCAGGATGGTCGGCAGGTTTTGTCGTAAACTGATTGTATGGTAGGATAATATGGTACATACATTATTATGGTTACTAATGTATAAAATGAAAAAACTATTAAATATGCCATTTGTAATATCTTTCGATTACCAGGATATTTTTTACTGTGTTATAATACAAAGACTATTTTTTCTTAGTTCTTTCGATTCATACTAATAACATTGTCGGCGGAGCTAGGTGCTTTTCGCCCATTGTCCTTTGTAGGTACGCAACATGACAGCCGTATTTTTTTTTACGTTAGCTTTAAAAAACCGTAGAGCCGTGTATATGATTTAAATTTCAACTCGATACCTTCTAGCGTACCCGAGATAAAGGGTCTTGACAGACAGACAGATAAACGACTGCATCTATTTCTAAAGTTAACTTAGAAGTTCGTTTTTGACACTGCTTTTTGGGACCGCAGACTTGAATTTATTGTTAAAATTTCAAGTCGATACTCCGCGCGTTCCCAAGATAAACTCTTGACAGACAGACAGACCACAAAGTGATCCCATAAGCTTTCAGTTTTTGCTTTTGAGGTACGAACCCCCAAAACAGTAATTTGATTAAATTCACTTGGATTTTCACATAGCTTGCTTGTACGATGATGACATAATGTTCACAAAATAAAATGATATCCTAAACAAAGAAGTTTTTATCCAAAACTGTTATTTCATTCAAAATTATGTCTATTTGACCTTTCAGTACTATGATGATCTGAGATTTCGCCCTAATTGCAATGCGATTTCAAGGAATTTAATCCCGAATTAAAGCACCTGACTACAAGATAGTTGGAAACACCTCGCTCCAATCTAGTGGAAAATTCGTTGGGGTACGGTGACATGCCGTACGTGGCGATCTCCCACAGCAGGATGTCGAAAACTCACACGTCCGACTTGGTGCTGTGGTTGTTGTACGTGAGTCCATCAGGCGCGGTCTACATTATGGGGTCTTTATTTAGGACCTCAAAACATTGAACACACTCCTCGTCCAAAGCCACGTACCTTTTCGAGCATGTGGTAGACATCGGCCAAGTCGACGCCGGGGTACGGCGACATGCCGTACGTAGCGATCTCCCACAGCAGGATGCCGAAAGCCCACACGTCCGACTTGGTGCTGAAGGTGTTGTACGCGAGCCCCTCGGGCGCGGTCCACTTGATGGGGAACTTGGCACCCGCGTGCGCGGTGTAAGTGTCGTCGCGCATCAGCCGCGCGAGGCCGAAGTCGGCCACCTTCACCAGGTGGTTCTCGCCTACGAGGCAGTTGCGCGCCGCTAGGTCCCTAACAAGATACACATATTTCTGTTATAAAAGTGCACACTCAAAATATCAAACTATGGTATTTTTGCTAAAGAAAAATTGAAATATGACAAAATGACCTCGGTTTTTTAAAAACACCATTATGTCAAATAACTTTGGAGGGAATTTACTTGAAAAGGAAAACATTAAAAAAAAAATGATTTTGTACAAAATTTTAAGAAATATATTGAAGACTAGCTGACCCGGCGAACTTCGTACCGCCTTAGCGTAGCTTTGATGCACTACTTTATTTTGTATAGCTGACCTATCTTATGTATGAGTACCTATTCAATTTGAACCGTCATTTTGTCAGCGCGGTTATCGATGTGGTGTCACAGATTACCACAGATTTTTTGTTTTAAATTGAATGACGTTGACATACGTTACGTTATATTTTTCAATCTTTCTGAGAGATTTTCTTTATATTTTTTTCCGTAAACACCTTGTACAGAGTATTAGAAAACTACAAAAAAAAATATCAGCCAAATCGGTCAAGCCGTTTTCATGTTATGTCGTGACAACGGAAAACGGGTTTCATTTTTATATATATAGATATATAGAGTCTATTCTCTGTCCTATCTGCCCGTCCCACCGGGACACGGCGTGAATATAGATATGGAAGATGTAAATACAGTAGATTATTTTTTCTTCTGTTTCTGTTATAAATGACAGAAAGTGTGTATATAAAATAGATGGTACATAGTATATTATTGGATAATATCGACTTACACTTGTCAGAAAGCGTGTATATAAAACAACCGGCACAGTACCTGTGTATAAACGAGCGGCTCTCCAAGTAGCTCATGCCGGAAGCGATCTGCGTGGCCATATACATGAGCACCACCGCATCGGGCGCCGGTTCGCGGGCGTTGGCTGCCGCCGCCGCCCTGAGGTAGTCCAGCAGGTTGCCGCGCGACATAAACTCCGTTATTATGTAGAAGGGCGGCTCGCGGGTGCACACGCCTAGCAGTTGAACGAGGTTGCGGTGCCGCATCTCCTTCATAATGGCCGCCTCTTCAAGGAAGTCTTTCAGCGCCATGGTGTCGTCTTTTAGCGTTTTCACCGCCACCTACAGAAGCGCGACAATGTTTACTTTTTGGAAAGATACAATGGAACGTTATAGTTAGTGGTAAGGATCTCGAATGGCGACCACACTCCTGATGACGTTCATTGGGTGGACCCTACAAGGTGGAGACGATCTAGTGAGTCGCGGGTAGACGATAAATCCGAGTGGCGCAAATGCGATCGGTCTGTGATGTGGAGACCCTCAGGGGAGGTCTATGTTCAGCAGTGGGTGTCTTACGGCTGATATAAATGCACTTACAGCGTGTTGTTACTTAAGGGCTTACATAGCGTCGAATTTCAGATTTTTTTCCTTCTACCAGATACTAGACTAGCAGTGTCCGAAAGATAATGCCCGAAGAGTCATTTTGAAAATGTTGGTATGCTAAGTCGCTCCCTTGTAATGAATATAAGTATTTAATAATTCACGTATTTTCTACAAACTGATCTTAAAAAGCAAACTACAACCCTGAAAAGAAAAAGAGACTGAGGCAGTTTTTTGATTTAGGTAACTTTCATTTTGTGAGTGCGATGTGTGATGAGTTTAAGAAAACCTAAGTATTAAAATCCTAACACGTATAACGAGGAGAGAAGAGAAGGGAGGAGAGGGGAGGAGAGGCAAGGAAAAGGAAGATAATACTTTGAAAATATGCTAAAAACGTTACGCAATTTTACCAGACGAACCCATGGTGTTATATTTGTTATTTTTACCGACCCCAATAAATGTAGGAAGTGTTAAATGTAGAATCTTTACGTTCGTTTGTGTAAAAGGCAAGAGGCTCATTTGTCTTTATGATATGTATTCTTGGAAACAAAGTACTTGTACTTAGAGGCTGGTGCTCTGCATCTATAAGATATAAATTATTGAGATTGATTGTTTTATTTGCTGTTATACTTTAATTAGTTGATCGAATTATTATTTGTTTATCAAAACTTTAGAAATTAAGCTAAGACCATAAATTAATCTTATATAATTCTCGTATCACAATGTTAGTTACCATACTTCTCCGAAACGCCTAGACCGATTTTAATGAAATTTTATATGCATATTCAGTAGTCAAAATTTAGGGTTGTATGTATTTTTTAAAGCCACATTTAAAAAAATTTAAAAAAGTCCGATAAATAAAAATAAATGTAGCCGATTCTCAGGGCTACTATCTATTTTTCATACCCCAAGATTTGTCCACCCGTAACATTTATTTTTATTTATCGGACTTTTTTTTTTTAAATGTGGCGTTAAAAAATACATACCACCCTTAATTTTCACCCTTTTACCGCCAATCCTCAATTTTATGGCGGTACGAACTTCGCTGAGTTAGCTCCGTAGTGGTATAAAATTTCTTCATCAGGTTAGGTTTCATATCTGATTGTAAAAGTTTGAATTTACCTACTTTTAAAACAAAACTTAAAAGCACCTATAATTAAGATATTCATTTCTCCCATGTGTGTTTGTGCATATGTTTTACTAGCTAGATTTAATAATCATAAAACCCCAAATCTGTAGCTAAGTAACTTTGGGATTTTCTACCATTTTAATTTTTACCAATAAACTCATTTTGTATTAAAACGTAAAAGTAACGACACAGGTATAAGTCAAAGTACAAAGTTAGATATAAAAGTCGCAATAATGTTTACGCACCATCCTCTCAGTGATGTGAACATGTTCGTTATCGATCTTAACCGTTGCTGCTACTGTGGTTTCTCCTAGGCGTGAGTGTGCAAAATCATAAGAATTAGTCAGCTGTTTATTTTCTCGCGCTAATAGTAAATCTCGGTAATTATGTCGCAAAGGGCGACCTATCACTAACCAAAAACGTATTAAAATTAAGCTGTTGATGTAAGACTCTCGTTTATAAATGCCTCAGTGTATTTTAACGGTAATAATACTGTCATGTGAGGCGGGTCGTTACGTCCCTAAAATATGTTTGAGCGAAGCGATGGCTGGTTCATGCGTCATGCTCGTGAACGGGTGGTGCCAGCGGAAATGAGTCTACTCTTATAGTACTTTACTCTTGAAATATTTCTAATTGTAACTAAAATAAACACTATTTGTATTTATAGTGTATGACACAGCAATCAAAATGTGAGTGGACGTCGTATTGGTAGCGACATGATTTTATGTAAATGTTACTACTTCTGTTAAATGTTGATGAGTTTCTTGCGCCCATTCTTCTCATCAGCTCTCAAGATGCCCTGTGGGTGGTTGGAAAAAATATTTGACGATTCAAGAGCTTTCAATGAGTCAATTTTAATAAAGTAAGTATAATTTCATTTCATGAAAAATCCGATTAAATATTGCTAATTTCGAGCTAGAGCGTCGCAGCCTCGCGTTGTAGCTCTACGTACTTTCTTGGGATTTAAGTTTACAGGAATATGTACACGATGAAAGAACATTCAAATTAATTCTTAGTAATGGAGTGTAAGGATGACATTTCAATGACATTCATTATCTGCCTCTGCTATCTGAATCTTAGGGATCGAGAGACAGCGATATTGCACCGTTTCCAAGTGGTCTCATACATGTCGCCGTACTGGCAGTCGCCGAGCTTGTACTTTATGACGATATTTGTTCGAGATACAAAACAATTTATATGTGAAAAATAAAGAAAACTCCCAGAGAAATTGTATTGTTTCTATATAACTTCGTAGACGTTGCTGTATTGACCACCGACAAGCTTGAGCTTGATGACGATGTCGAAGCAGTCGATATCCCACTCATCGGGCTAGGCTACTAGTAACAGTCCATTTATTTCTTAGTGGTGGGTGGGAAGAAGACTCACAGATATAGATATACTCACATTGATATTGCAGTTTCCAAGTAGCCTCGTAGACATCGCCGTACTGTCCGGGTTCAGCTTGTGCTTCATGTTATGCCCGTGGCGTCGATTTATTACTAGTAGGACTAGCCTAGTAGAAACAAAGTGATGTTTCGTAGTGGTGGATGTGAAGAAGACTCACAGATAGATATACTCACAGTGATATTGCAACGTTTCCACGTGGCCTCGTACACGTCGCCGTACTGTCCGCCACCGAGCTTGTGCTTCATGACGATGTCCGTGCGATCTATTTCCCATTCGTCCGGCGGTGCCAGAGGGAACACGGTGGGCTTGTTCCGCTTCGGCGCCGGGTACAGGAGTTGGGTGATCAGCCCGTCCCCCAACACAGAATGGTGGTGCACTAATTCGGCCAGAGTGCCAAACTTAGACTCGGACGTTACGTAAACCTTGACCAACAAATTGAATGATATCTTTTACAAAAATAGTATTTAAAGAAAATATGTTTCTATCTTCACGACGAGTCCCAGGTGGGGGGGAGGGAGGCAGAAAAAATCAGCGTCTCAAGATACGGTCCATACCATCCATCGTGGATTTTTGCGCTTTTGCGGTATACATACCTACCTTTAGAATGCAATCAATTTGATCGTGGAAGCTGAGCTCTCTGCGTACCCCACCCAGGATATGGAGTGAACATAGAATAGAATTGATTCTTTTTAAAAGGCTTGGTTAATAACTCTTTCCTACTTGATGTTAGTTCCGAACATTGCTAATGCAAATGTCGGAGTGATTTTATTGAGTAACTGCATAGCACCTAGCATTTAAAATAATGAATGAATATAATGTTAATTGGCTGTAGTTATTTAGTTGGAAGATACTTCCTGAGAAAAGTCTATTATTGTGTAGATTATATATATTATAGATTTATAGCAAAAGTGATATCTAATTTTCCTTGCTGTTTTGATTAGGGAACCGTCACTCGATTTTGGTAATAGGAAAAGTATAAACTCCAAATTTGATCAAATCGTTATTATTTTGTACCTTTCCGTCGGAGTCTTCGTTGATGCGGTAGTGGTAGACCCTGCCTTCGTATCGCAGAGAGATGCTTCTTTGGCCAGGACTAGATTCAGATTCGCGGACCTATAACAACGAAGATAAAGTTTAATTTTGCTTGCGGCGGTTGTAGCTTTATCGCACTGTAAGGACTTCTTCACTACATCGTCACTTCCATAGTAAACTTACGAATTTGAATTTCATAAAACCTACTACGCCAAAATATCGTATATTAATTTGGTAAGTTTACTTTGGGTGTATGTTACTCTCAAAGATCGAAAACGCTCAGTGAGCGGAAAAATAGTACACAACGCGTTGTGGTCACAGTAAAACATCCACATAGCGAAATTCGTGTTATGGCTCTAATGAAAACGCGCACGACGCGTTGTGGCAATCACAGAAAGACCAAATAGCGAAATTCGTGTTGTGGCTGACATGCTATTCGATCTCAACGCGTCGTGGCAATGAAGAAAAGCCATGACGCGTATGGAATATTATTTGATTACGATGCACACTACTTTCCGATATGGATCCTACTAGGCCTAGGCTGGAAACTTTGGTAGATAGATGTCTTTAGGAAATATTTTTTATTTTATAAAATCACTGCATAACGTGTTTGTCATTATTAAATATGTTATATAATTATATAAATTAAAATAAAACGATATTTGTTATTTATTGTTTGTTACGTATTAAGAAATAAATTACTGAACACAAAATATTATTCATTTTTGAATACTTATAATTCACTTAAAATAATTAGGAATTTTATTTTTTTATGACAATTTAAAATTCTTTCAAGTAATAAAAATATTTAACACAAACATAAATGTTTATTGATCACCAATAAATAGTGTCCAACCGAAATTTCGGTTTCGGTTTCGGCCAGTTTCGGCCAAAAAATCAAGTTTCGGCCCGAGTTTCGGTTTCGGCCAAAAACGGCCGAACCCTTACAACATCGTACCTTCGGATCGCGCTCGGCTAACGTCGGGCGCGCTCGGCACGGCTGGCAATATGGCGTCGCTCGCCTGACTCCGCCGGCACCTACCTAAATCAGTGCGCTTTGCTGTTTTGCAAATCTTGACCCAACAGCGACACTCAGACAGACTCTACAATGCTACCTATCAGAACCCTTGTTACAGCGTAATGCTGATATTTACCCCTATTGGAACTCCAGCCCATATCCTTTATTACGAAATGCTGTTCTATAATACCTGTCAGCACCACCGACAAGTGTACCTAGCGAGCAGTTGTTTAGCGCTGCTGGACAAATATATGCTGATAGGCGAGGTAATCTGCTTGGAGAAAATGCGGAAAAACTATTGTTCTTGCCTATGTTATGCACCTTACATAATAAAAAAAGGTTCGCTAAAATGATTACCAAAGGTGATCAATTTGATTATTTTGATTATCTAATTATATTTGAATTAGCCATTCGAGGCTAACTGATTGTGATATTTGTGAGTATAATTAAAATGTAAGTAACTGAAAATAAATAAACATAATATATGAGCATCATATTTTAATAATCAATTTGTTTTATTTTATACCACCATTAAAACATCGCTAACTTTGTGTTACAAATAATGTATTTTTTTCACTTTATAGGGTAGTTAAATTTTCAAACAGAACCTCTGTAACTGTGCTGAAATTTCATTGTGATAAATCTTTGAAAGTAGAAACCTGTAATTATAGGTCGGCGAGATATTAATTTTAGAAAAAAACGGGCTTACTAACATTTTTTCGACTTTTTAAGGACTTTTTTTTTATAAAAGATTCGGTTTCGGTTTCGGCCTAAACTACAATGGGTTTCGGCAAAATAACATGTTTCGGTCGGTCACTACCAATAAACAACAACAATGTACTTAAATCAATTATTTATATTAGAAATTACTATAATTGTGAAAAATAAGTATTTGTTGCTATTTATTTTTACAGGAACTATTACTGTGGCATTGAGTTGCATATTATATTCTTGGAGTGACACTTGCACTTTTTATCAATACAGTATTTTTTGCAGTGGCACATTATAAACCCTTGTTTACTTCCAGATGATATCATAGATGCTGAGCGAAGTGTGAATGACGGAGTTGAGGCACATCACAAATGTTTATAAAGTTGGTTTCAGAAAGTGTAAACTCATTACGTGCAAAAAGTCTACCGAATGTACCTTCCTTGTTTCCTAACTGGTAGAGACCTGATGGATGGAATGCTCATAACAACACACTTGTGTCTCTAAACACTTTGTCTTTCTGTATATGTTCTGTATGTGTTCATAAAACCTTCCTGGGTGCTGCACGTCCTCTATCAACTTACAACCTGTCCGTCGTGATATGGTTTGGTAGAGACCTGATGGATGGAATGCTCATAACAACACACTTGTGTCTCTAAACACTTTGTCTTTCTGTATGTGTTCATAAAACCTTCCTGGGTGCTGCACGTCCTCTATCAACTTACAACCTGTCCGTCGTGATATGGTTAAAACAATGAATGCTCAGAACGCGTCATGGCTTTTCTTCATTGCCACAACGCGTTGAGATCGAATAGCATGTCAGCTACGACACGAATTTCACTATTTGGTCTTTCTGTGATTGCCACAACGCGTCGTGCGCGTTTTCATTAGAGCCATAACACGAATTTCGCTATGTGGATGTTTTAATGTGACCACAACGCGTTGTGAGTTATTTTTAAGCTCACTGAGCGTTTTCGATCTTTGAGCGTAACATATACACATAAAATGCAGATTCAAACAATCAGACTTTTGGAACCCTCATTGATAAAATTGTGTGACTTTTTCCTGGTGTTAAGTACAGTACAGTGCAGTTTTTTATTATAGATTTTTACTAAAAAAGCAGATTCGTAAGTTTGCCGTAGATGTGACGACATGTTGAATTGTCCCCTTTTGCAAGGAAACACATGTAAAAGAGAAACGAGTTCCTATATTTCGCACTACAATCTATGTAGTGTGTTCAAGCAATATTCGCTTTAGGATTAGGTACTTACTGCTGTTTCATATCAATTGTTTTTCATGATTAATCTTTTTATTAAACCTATTATTTATTTTCAACTTTGTTTCCATAGTTAGCGCTTTTGTGCATTAGGTGCTACCTATTTGCTCTTTTCAATAGTTTATTTTGAGAGAGGAGTAATTAACATAACAAGCAAAAATAATATTATGAACCTGAAAATATGTTGATCAATCACGTAAAAAGGACTGATCGGATTTGGATGATATTTGTTAAACATATAGTTTATGACCAGCCCCCCTAGCATGAGTAACAAAACGCGATATGATAAAGCGATTTATCGACATTAACTGTCAAACTACAATGGAGTTTGACAGTTGAGTGTCGATAAATCGCTTTATCATATCGCGTTTTGTTAGTCATGCTAGAGGGGCTGGAATGAGACACAGGATACTTTGGATTACGAAAATAAAATTGGTTCCTGAGGGATCCTTAAAAGGCGGCGTTGCGCGAGATGGGCTCGTGGTACCATAGCCTTCTCCTGAGAGTAGACAGTTATCACGTAGTTGTCATTCTATAGGCGACGCCTAGAATGAACTAGATAATGATTACATACTAGGAAGCTCCGTTGATGCCTGAGGAGAATAGGTACTCGGCGGCGTTGCTCGAGATGGGCCCGTGGTACCACGAGTGCTTCTCCAGCGAGTTCACGGGTGACACGTAGTTGTCTGTGTATTGATCGCTTTCAGTAGGGGAGGCGTTATTAGGCTGCTCTTGATGATGAAAAAGAGTGACTACATACTAGGAAGCTGCGCCGTTGATCCCCGAGGAGAGCAGGTATACTCGGAGGCGTTGCGCGAGATGAGCCCATGGTAACACGAGCGCTTCTACAGCGAGATGACGGGTGTCACGTAGTTGTCGGTGTATTGATCGCTTTCAGTAGGGGAGGTGATATTAAGCTGCTCTTGATGATGAAAAAGAGTGACTACATACTAGGAAGCTGCGCCGTTGATCCCCGAGGAGAGCAGGTATACTCGGAGGCGTTGCGCGAGATGGGCCCGTGGTACCACGAGCGCTTCTACAGCGAGATGACGGGTGTCACGTAGTTGTCGGTGTATTGATCACTTTTAGCAGTGGAGGCGTTATCAGGCTGCTGTTGCCGATGATGAAGAGTGACTTCATACTAGGAAGCTGCTGTTGATGCCCGAGGAGAGCAGGTACTCGGAGGCGTTGCGCGAGATGGGCCCATGGTACCACGAGTGCTTCTCCAGCTTGTTGACAGTTGTCACGTAGTTGTCATTCTATAGGCGACGCCTAGAACTGGAGTCATTAACAGGCCGCTGTTTAGGATAATGATAAATATTGACTACATACTAGGAAGCTGCCGTTGATGCCTGAGGAGAGCAGGTACTCAGCGGCGTTGCGCGAGATGGGCCCGTGGTACCACGAGTGCTTCTCCAGTGAGTTGACGGGTGTCACGTAGTTGCTGGGCACCCAACCCACGCCGCCGCCCAGCGTGTGCGCCTCGCACCACTCGCCGCTCTTGTTATAGCTCATGATCCGCACTTGCTCGCCTGGTTGACAGATCACATATTATTTTATGTGAAATATTGGCTCAAGAACGTAATTATGGCTCGGTCAGGATTAGATCAAAGGAGGCTTGGAGGAGGTTGCGAAGCTACAGTGGGGGTCACGGGCGCGTAAACACTTAAAAAAATCTTTCCTGTGCAAGCGCTAGACGGGTGATTTTACGGGCCCATCCTGATTGGTCGTAGTATTTTACTATAACCAATTAGCATAGCGCTGCACTGGGTGCAGTTATGAATGATGCGTGCGAGAGTAAATATTATGCGCGACGTTGCTCTATGCCGCTACACAGCTACAGCCAGCGGTTTGGCAACATCTCGGGATTTCTGTGAAGCGCGTGCGATATCGGGACCAAATAAAGAAATAATAAAACAACAACAATAATCATACGCGTAATTTTATATTTGGTTTCGATTTTAATATTGAATTCATGAATCTGGTATAGTCATATTTTTAAAGTAAACCTATAACCTTTTTACTCTCAAATAGAATGAGCTTAATAATTATTTCTTTTATTTTTTATTATGCTCTTGTAAAAATAGGTACTAGCTTTTCGTCAGCGGCTTCGCACGCGCAGAACAAAACTGTGATCCTACATTGTAACCACTCAGAGTATAAATTAGAAAACACTACCATTTTCTAATTTTCTAGGTAGCCTAATTAATTACCAACTCTGATATTAACAACTTTAAATTTTTTAATTTTAATTTATACACATTTATCCCCATTTTATGGAGGTTTCCTAAAATCCTTTTTAGGCAACGACTCCTAATCATTAATTACTTTCGTGTAAAATTTCACCTTCATATTTTAGTAGTTTTCGAGAGTCAGTGAATAAATACTCAAGTGGTTTCGGTTCTATATACTTATCTAAAGATATATGCGTTAGCATCTAATAGTCAGTGAGATATATTTTGTTATTTTTTTTAATACAAGGCGCAGAAAATTTCCCCTCCCCATCCAGATATTTAAGTGTGAGTGAGGACTAGTGAAGTCTGAAGATAACTGATGCGATAAAAAAGGGTGCCGCTCCAGCCATTCTCACCTTGCTGGCCTGAACCCAATCCCCGTTCCCGTGGAGCCCTAAAACCTTATTCACCAACAGAAACACAACACCAAAAGGTAGGAAGTATTATTTTACTGTGGTCTTCTGTAAGAAAAAGGTTACTTTTCCAGACGGGCGCTCCAATTCCACCGAAAAAATCCGCTATGCCCTATCTCTTTTAAAATAAATAAAATATCGTTAATGATAGTTATATATATTAAGTATTTACTTTTACCAGCGTCTATTTTACCTTTAAAAGACGTAGGACATAGCTGATTTCCCGCTTGAATTGGAGCGCGCATTATAATTGATTAATCACGAACCCCTTTTTAAGCAATGGGCAAAATTTTATTTCTGAGGCCCTTAGTTCGCACTGAATCGCTGCCGTACTCAGAGATGCTAATTAACTTTTAATTTAAATTAAAGTTGATGCTGTCACTTTCTTTGTAAAAACCAAATTTCTTGGTAAAACAAAATAAGACAACATGCGACTTTACGAAGCATTAGCATTAATTGACGTCTTTGAGTGCGGCGATAAAATATCACTGAATTATTCAGGAGTTATAATTCTTATAAATAAATAAGTCGTTAAATAATCTACAGAACTCTTACTTCGTGAATAGCACGAACGATTACAACTGTTTCCGGATTTAATTATGTAGGTAATTGAAAAGAGGACATTCATTAAATCATTTACGAATTTCAAACAAAATGTAATATCATGAGCTTATATTCATCACAACACAACCGAGCTATTGCTGTTCATTCATAAAAAGTCGAGAGCCCGCCCACTAACGAATCGTAAAAAACGAGTGCATGGCAAAATCGCCTTAGAGCTGTTCACGCGCCCGTGACCATGTTTGTACATATATAAAGCGGCGAATATGTATAAAAGTGTTATAAAACTAAAATCAATATATAAAGTTGTAATATGTATATAAGAAGTGCCTGGGGTTCCGGTGCTCGATTATTTTTGGCTTTCCCTCTCAGTTCCATTGTCAAAGTAATATAGATATTTACAATCATACAGTGATATTTATCATATCGCGATGTTCATGCTACGGGGGGAGGACACTACATAAACATGTGTGTGTGCGTAAACTGACCTTTCTTGAGGCTGAGCTGGTTCTCTCCCCCTGCTTGGAAGTCGTACAACGCGACAAACAGCTGGGGGTCGTCCTCCTCATGATGAGCGAGAAGGTTCTCCTTCGATGTCCACCTGCACAATACAACCTGATAGGTGACACAACCCTCCCATAACTACCTGCGAAAGTAGGTCACATAAGCAAGTATTTGCCACTTTATTTCCATGGGTTTAAAGTAAATCTAAGATACAGCATATAAAACATTAAAAAATATTATGCAAAAAGATTGTTTCGTTATGAGCAACAAACAATATCTAAAGGTTAATTTATATCTGAGAATAAAAATGTTACTTAGTTCTGTTTAATAGTTCTATGAGAACTAAATAAGTTATAATAAACTCGAATTCACGTAAATAAATGCCCCTAACGGTATTCGAACTTAGGACTTTTGGATCAGAAAGCTTGCTGCATCGACCGGTAATCAATTATTAATTAGGCACTCGATATAGGTAATGTACAATCAGCCAATTTGATTCCTGATACACCATATTTTATTTTTCTGTTACAACCATTTCAAAACAATAAAGGGGGTTTTTCCAACGCGAGCGGAACGATTTTATTAATGACTCCGTTTACCCCACAATACAAATATGCATTAAATCTGTTTCCACCAACAAAGAGTCGAGCGAAAATCACAAAGAGTGCAACAAGAGTAATCATAATAATCATAATCAACTGAAAAATTAGCTATTTACTCGTATTGGATAAATGGCGCCTAAAAGTAGTTTTTTGACAAAATCTCCTTTCAAACTCATTTTACGATAAAAACAGTTAATACAAAATGAAACTAGAGCCAATTGCCCATAATTTATATATCTACCTTTCTTTTTCATAAAATCAATAGTTATGGCGTACGAGCGCCTTGCGCTTTTATCGTAAAATGAGTTGGAAAGGAGATATTGTCAAAAAACTGCTTTTAGGCGCCATTTTTCCAATATGGCGGCGCGAGCGGCAAAAATACAAGGTGGCAAAGTAGAAACAACACCTCAAAATTCATAAAATTACCAATTTTCAAAACTCCCGGGAAACTTTCCAGGTAACCACTATATTTCTCACCAAATGAGTGTACTATAACATGATCTATTGCATTAAACATAAATGTCAAATTTCAAATACTTTGATCCATATTAGCACAGTTTCCTTGTTATTAGAAGGTCTTAAATGCAATTACGCATTATATACAAAGGCAAAATTGTCTGTTTTGAAATTTTTAAGCGAATTATCGGCCAAGTGGGTCAGGAATCAATTGGTTCGATCGTACAATACATCAAATGTTTCCCATTAGCGAGGGATTTTAGATCCGTAGAAACGTGCAATACATATCTTGAAAAATGAATACGTGTGGCTGGAATTAATAAGGAATATTTTTTTGCTTTGATCTAAACGTGTGTATGCAAAATACCTAACCATTAGCGAGAGAAAAGAATTGTTAACAATATTTGATTTAGTTACGAACAATAAGTCTTTTTTTCACGTCTGCTACATGATTATATTAAAAATAAAGAAAGATTTTCGTGTATTTCACACCATTCACGAGAACAAGTATAGAAAAAAAATAGCATTTGAGGTACATATTAATAATTGGAATTCATAGATAAATTGTTCTGTGTATATGTTACGTTCACAAAACCGAAAATGATAATTGAGTGAGAATATTGATCACAAAGCGTTGAGTCATTTTTTTGGCTCACTGAGCATTTTCGGTCTTAGAGCGTAACATATAAATATACACTGTAAGAACTGCGTTGGTCTAATGGTCACTCATTGATACTGCAGAAAGTACTTACTTTTTTCTACTACTGCGACTACATTATTTTAGCAATGGTTTAACAATAAATTATTTAGATCTAAAAACAAGAAAAACATAAATAAGTAGTATACATAGCCAGAACTTGGGACATTCCTGTTACAAGCAAAAAAGTCATAAAATAATATGTTATAAAATATAGAATGACATCTTGCTTTTTTTATTACTTTGGCAAATCACATATACAAAGAAAATGGAGTAGTTTTCCTAAGTTTGTTTTATAGTATAATTATAATTATGAATGTCAATCTAGATACCTATGCAAATCAATAACTTCGTAAAAAATTAAGCATTCAGACTATTATAGGCTTATTTTTTTTACTAAACTCATCTTTTACGTAATCGTATGATAATCTATACCGAGCTATAATGGCAACTAGCAATAAATGTATTTATCTCCCTAATAGACGCTCGTTAGTGGAACACACGCGGAGATGATTGTATATGAATATCAATAATAGCTAGCTAAAACATATTTTATTTTTATACGTTAATGCGAAATCAAAAAATGAAGATACCTAATTAAAACGTGGAGTTTAGTGAGTTCGATTCGAAATTTATCTAATGCTATTTTGAAGATCAAACATTTGACTTTGAGCGTAGTGATAATTATGAGTTTTTATGGCTGGTCCAGCAAATGAGTCGGATTTGAGTCTCTGGACTCCAATCCCGTTGGATCCCATTTATCTACCCTGTGATACTCAGATATTAACCTTATTCAGTGCAGGCACATACTACAACAGATCAGTGTTTCTTATCAAAAATTGAGAATTCAATCTCGGATAGGTGCACCACTGCCATCCTATTTCCATTAAGCTGTATATACTCGTATATATATATAGGGCTTGATGTTTATAGACCACTTCTTGAAATAACTGCCTCTGCATACGACCATTTTTTAAGATCTTTCAGTGCAGTGTGCAAAAGATTCTTTTTTATAAAGATATAACAGTCTATGAAGTCATGTTACTAATGTGATGATAATTACTATATGACGAGTATAAGAGTTGTTTTTGTTTTATAGTGTAACTCTACAAGAAGTAATCATGTAGAGTTACACTACGTTCACATGCATGTGAACGTGACGATATCAAAAAAGTTGCGTATAGGGATGAACGATACGAGTAAATACAACTAACTACTGGACACTTTTCTTTCGATACCAAGTACTTTTGGCATAGATGCTTAAGAACTGAGTAACCAGTAGTATCGTGAAGTAAGTACTTGTATCGGTACTCGGTCGGTCACTCACTGAGAAGTATAAAAAAAAACCCAAAGGCAGATTATTTACCTAGTTGCAATTTTTGTTTCGCGAACTCATCTTTTCTACTGCTCAGTTTGCGTATGATTTATATTTATTCCAAATTATTCAGTCAGTCATTCGTTCATCGCGTAGCGTGAGCCGTTATTTTGTTTTTGTTAAATTAAAACTGTGACTGAATTTGTAATTGTTATATCGTTCGTCAAAATTTATCGATGCTGAGTAGGCATCGATGCTTTATGACCGATACAGTATCGATACCTTGATGGTATCGTCCACCCCTAGTTGCGTATTTTTGCACACCGTAATAAAGGTAGTCAAATAAGGAACTGGTAAAAAGCAATAATGGCCCATACAAGAACTAGGTCTCTTTAAAAAGTAGTCGAATCCAGAAGTCCTTAAATTCCAGGCATTTCATATAATTTTGTGAGCTAAGCGAAATAAGTTCATACTGGAAAACAAAACGTAGAGACTTTAGGTGATCACGAGCGGATCTGAATCTTTAAGCAAATTGTCGTAAGAGTTTGCATTATGAAATAAATATTTAAAAAAAAAACATTTCATTTTGATTCGCGCTCGGTGTGGCCTGCGCTTCAATTGGCTACGCTCATGCTTATACGATATCTTTTGAAACTTGAGTTTACAGCGTATATAATTTGTGTATGCAGCTTTGAATTCTATCTAACTGCTCGGGCATGTCTGTGCCGCTAATAGAGACGGCTTGATGCGACGCGCAAAGCGATGAGAGCAAATATACTAAAATATTACAAGTGTATCACGAAGCGATGCCCACAGCAACGGGGATAGCGTGAGGGCTCATGCCCACAATCACACGACACCGGCGCTAGTCACGGTTTGGGGTACCGTCTCTAGCGCCGGCGTCATGTGGCTTCATAGTGTCTCATATAAGAGTGACGTAGACCCGGTTTGACGCTGGGCTTAGTTTTGGCGAAAAACTGTCTCGAAGGCATGCACCGCAGCGAAAATCTGTTAAAAGCCAAGTCGTTGCCGGGCATTTATCGTTTCCAGTCTGAATCTATTTTGCTAAGATTAGTTCGTTAGTTTGCTTCGCTTAGCATCGTGAGATGAATGGTAGATATTTCATGGGTGGGTGTAAAGTAAATGGTGCGGTTATTACCTGGTGGCACTATCGAGCGGTTGGGGCGTGCCGGGCGCGGCGGAGGTGCCTTCGCCATCCGGGAGGTCGGGGATGTGCGGCAACGGACGGCTCTGCAGCAGCGCCTCTGTACGAGACAACCAAAAAATTATCCAACAGCACTATTATAAAAATACTCCTTATTGAACAAATCATACAGGCAAAGTGTATTTATTGTAAGAAACAAGTACACAGATGACTAGCGGCCTCCCGCGACTTCTTCAGCGTTATTTTACTTTTTTGTTTTTTGAAAATACCTAAGAAACCTGTCCCTTTTCCGGAATAAAAGTATCCTATGTCTCAATCCAGGTCATTAACTAATATATGTGCACCTAATTTCATCAAATTCAGTTCAGTAGTTATTAGGTGATTAAGTAACAAAACTTTCACATTTATAATATTAGGTAGGATAGGATACAAACTTTCACATCTATATTCTATACTAATATTATAAAGAGGAAGGATTTGATTGTTTGTTTGTATTAGTATATATAATAGGCTCCGAAACTACTGGACCGATTTAACAAATTCTTTCACATTTAGAATCTTACATTATCCCTGATAATCAGGCTATAGAGTATTTTCAAAAAAGTTAGGGTTCCGTAGGAAAACTTCGATAATGTAACCGAATGTGTGAAAAAAATAACAAAAAATAACCTTATATCGAGTAAGCTGCAGAAGTCATTGACAATAGAGCAAAGTGGTGTACTAGTTTTATAGAGGACTAGCTGACCCAGCGAACTTCGTACCGCCCTAAAAAAATAGGGGTTGTTCAGCGGACAAAATTGTGAATCTAAGCCATTCTCAGATCCCCTTGAACACACACAAAAAATTTCATCAAAATCGGTCCAGTCGTTTAAGAGAAGTTCAGTGACATACACACTCACAGAAGAATTATATATATAAAGATATCAATATCTACAACAAAGCAATACCATATGTCTTACTATTACAGTTATGTCACAACTAGAGATCTCCTGCGGTTTCAATCACGTTAATTTGAGGAAAAAGGTTATAGTGAGTCAAAAGATGGATATACGCTCTCGCGGTCTTTTTTTATAGAACTATTAAAGGGGAAAAATTCTGTCATACATGATTTTTGTGTAACTTGAACTGTTTACCGGGCGCACGCAACGAAAGCTCACAAATGAAATATTTTTATCGATGCTCCGCTCCTCCTGGTCCTAGAGTGATGTTAATAGCCTTCCTTTATAAAGACACTATCCAACACAAACATTTTTTTTTTATCGGACAAACATACACTGGGATTAGCGCGTTCAACCAAAAAAAAAAAGAAACAAACTTATAAACATTACGTTAACACAAGTAATTATTAAAATTGGCTGTAACAGATAAATCAAATCATACTAATTGGGAGCAAGAGCAAATAAAAAATTAACAACCTCAACTTCTCAAGACAACACAGTCGAAAGTGGTTTCGGCAACTGTCGCAGGTTTAGACCTGTGTGTTTAGGCGGTGGTATAGACAACCTCAATATTGTTTGTGAATAAAAAGCGAACATAGATATTATCTATATCCTAATTCGGCGCCTTTTAGGTGCAGCTACGATATCAGCTAATAGTACCGATGTACCATTTGTCTATCTATATTGCGTTTCAAAGCAGCTTTGATGTTCTGCTAATCCCGTAAGGGTTAACGACTTTTCGGTATACAGGTATATACATTATGTTTTGGTGATGCATCGATCGCTACTACCGGTGCGTTTGGCAATCTCAATACATTACATCCAAACTGGACTTGTACGAGGATTAGTAAATTGAATACACAAAGCAAGCTTCCAACAAATCTGCTGAAGTGTGTACACACAAACTGCGAACTGACGGCGCAACCAATGAACAAAAATGTTGTTAAGCTCATCGCAAAAACAAAAGCATTTACTTATCAAGAACTTACGAATTGCGTTTTGTATTGTGTGTTCTATCAGCTAAAAGATGTCCTGTATGGGTGGTAGGAGGAAAATATTGGATGATTCAAAAGAGCTTTCAATAAGTTAATTTGAATAGTTAAAGTGTAATTTTATTTTATTTACTAACAAGTTATTCGATTGGTCAAATTTTAATATTTTATATAACTACATATAGGTTTCGCTAAAAAAAACAACAATTCCATACTAGATCAGTAAGAATTAATTTCCACCATTTCTGAAGTTATAAAAAAGCGTTACCTAAAATAGTTTTGTTCCTAAAAGGATTACAATAAAATGAATACTCATTTTATATTTATCATACACGGTCACCAATTTATAAACATTTTTTTTCCTTTCCAGTCGGCACTATCAACCGAACGACGCATTGATAAGTTTACTAGCCGCCAGTGAAATGGTTGACCTATTTCCATCTGTGAAGTTCTAAAAATATTCTTCACGTAGATTTGACAGTAGGTTTCCTATTACAATTTTGTGTGTCCATTATTGTGAAAATTAAGCAATGTGGTCAATTGATGGGTGATCACAGTTTGGGCGTTGAGAGATGAGATTAGTTGTTATGGTTGCGCTCCACCAGCGATTGTACATTAATAAATTTAAAGCATAAAGCGTAACCTGTGTTATTTTATTGCAACCGCTTCCAAATAGAAAACGTTGGCGCAATATGAAAAATAAGTTGATATTGGTCTGCTCTTTATATTATAAGCATTCAAGCAGACGGCTCACCTGATGTTTATAGTTAAACAGTGTTTTAATTTTAAATCAGGTAAGTGACATATTCAATGCAATAAAAAGAGATAAAACACTGCGTTTCTAGTTCGTTCTTATAAGGGGTATCAGTGAATATTATACAAAATTGAGTATTATTAATGATGGCTCTATATAGAGTTATCATAAAATAGCTAAAACTAAAAGGAAAGATGGAAAGTGAAGAAGTCGATGCGGCAAATATAATACCCATCCCGCAGTAGGTAAATAAGAATCGGAAACGAACTAATGTAGCTTGCTTCTGAGGGTGGTGCATATTTCATTAAAGACGCCCTGGAAACACTGTGGTTTAAGTAAAGTATATGAGGTTCATTAATAGCCGCAGATGAGGGACTTTTTTCCGCCGTAGATTGCTTACAACTGCATTGAGTAACGCCCACGACAGATTAAAAATACCGCAGACATAAGAGTCCCCCGAACTATCGTGGACACCGAGGGACCGGACAGGACACGTTTTACGTCAGCCAGTCCACGAAAAAATTAGAACATATTTGTGACAAGAGGCGTCAATGCACACGGCAGACTTTAGTCCGCGGTCCGCGCTCTATAGTGATGTACATGGTAAAAATGCGTTTGACTTTTAGTTTACTAGACGAATTTTATGTTATTCTTTAGCTCTAAGTCCCTGATGATGATCTTTCCGATGGACTGTTTGTAAATGAACATCTATCGGCGCAACTTTGAAGTCTGAAAAAATCCAATCATGGCAAAGCGGCGTGCGGCAGACGAGCGTAATCAAAGCACTTTTAATATTTTACCGAGCTCAGGCCGCTAGTGAAAATGTTTCAGGTAAATCTGTAGTAGTTGTTACCTATTTGATTGATTGAACCGCGAGCGTGTACGAATAGAGCCAATTTTTTTATCGAATTGCTACATTTGCGTTGAATTTTGCGTATTGGAAAAATCTACGCCCACCGTATAATCCGCTTTTGCTTTTGTTACAGCGTAAACCTTGTTTTTATGATTTCAGGAAGATTTTAATTTAGGTTATTTCATGCTTGTAAAATTATATAAAAACTTTGCGTTAGTGTAATTTACTCAGATTGTATTATTTTATTTCAAAGCTATTGTATTTACTAGGTATTTACGCACAGTAAGTACAATCATGATAAATCGCTGCTTGTTAGAAGTATTAATTCTGGCGATAGAAGAATTCTGTCTTCTACGACGAGATACAATACATGATTTAACCTTCTTAATAACTGCACAGATCGAAAAATCAAAAAATTATAATATTCTTATATTAACTTATAGTTATTTATGATATTAGTTCGGTTAGTTGGTTACTAGAAACGAGTACTTACCATAGTCACGAGTTTGTTAATACCAATCCGCACGAATGTCATACAACGATTTTCAATACATTTGCGAGAAAACAGTACATATACATCATTTATGTAATGAAGCAAACTGCTTTCTAATAAGAAAAATGGCGTGCATTTCCAAATGGCACCACGTGCGGCTGGTGAAAATTAGAACTACATCACGTATTAATGAGGGACAAAGGTATAGATTAAATCGATTCCAAGGAGGTTCATTTTTTGAGCAAAGTTATTATTATTCTGTTGTATATTAAGAGTTAGTGATATGCCTGTAATGCATACATGCCCCGCACTTCACAACTACAAATCCCGTCATAACTTGGATAACAAAGTAAAAGTTGGTTGGATAACTCCACACAGGCGAAGTATATGGTTACATACAAGGAGCATCCTTTTCTGCGGTTAGAATACGCCTACGCCTGACGAGTGTCGGCTGACTTCGTTCATACAACAGAAAGAGTGGAGGGGGTTAGTGGAGGAGGGTGGGATCAAATATCACCTGTAGCCTCTCGTCTTGAGGAGAGCGCGAAACAAGATGTTGTTATTTTATTCAATGCCACTATAGCCTACACTGTAAATGTGTAGCGTATCCTCTATAAACTGAAAGCAGTGTAGTAGAGTGGTTTATGAGTTCAGTACCCTTAGTACGAGTTTGAGCTAACGAAAACTATCAGTTTACAATTACACAACTTACAATTACGAAAACTATCAGTTTTCGTAATAATAATTGTAAATTATGTTTCTATGTCCATTTCGATAAAAAGTAACCAAATATACTTAAAATTTAAGTAGACGTAAATGATTTAATGATATGATTTAAACACTGTTTTTTGTATTGAAACGAAAACAATACAATCATTACCCTTAGTACGAGTGCGAGCTCACGAAAACTATCTTTGTTTTCTTAATTGTAAAACTCGTACTAAGGGTACAGGAATGTTTAGCTCATCTATGACAAAAGTCTAGAAGTTAACTATAAATCTATCGAAAAAAAAATATATAATAATAGGCTTGTGAAACAGTTTCACATGAACAGATGCTTTATCATTTTT